TCGATAATAATGGATTTCAAAAACTACACGGATTGAAACAGCAAACCGTTTCGTGTTTGTGAACCTCATCTTTAGCCTTTTAGCACTTTTTCCTTTTATTTTGAAGATTTCACATTAGTACAAGCCACTGTCAGATGGGAGAGTGGTGTACATTTCGGGATGTGGAGATGGGGGCCCCGATTGTGTGTTATTACCTCCTCTTGACGACCAAACCAGCAGAAGAAATTCATCCTTTTATGTGTTCCTTGTGTGGACTTTTTGTTTTGGTTCGGTCGCTTTTTCGTCCTCTTCTCTCTCGCATCTAGTTTATCGTGTATATTATTCTCAGAGCTTCTGGGCGCTCGTAGTGTCTGAACTTGAGATATTTTTGTCATCTAATGTCATCATCATGATTATCTTAAGTTATGGCACTTTTACACTAATTGTCTCAATAGATTGTCTAATGCCTGGCTTCCTGTTCCGTCTGTCTTTCATCTAGATGTTATCTTCAATTTCAGCGTGAACTTCTCTCTCTCTCTCTCTCTCTCTTCTCTCTCTCTCTCAATTACTCTCTCTCTCTCTCTCTTCTCTCTCTCTCTGCTCTCTCTCTCCTCTCTCTCTCTTTCTCTCTCTCTCTCGTTCTTCTCTCTTCATCTCTCTCTCTCTCTCTCTTTCTCTCTCTCTCTGCTTTCTTATCTCTCTCTCTCTCTCTTCTCTCTCTGTCTCTCTCTCTCTCTCTCTCTCTCTCTCTCTCTCTCTCTCTCTCAGTCCCCTTATTTATTGGAATATTCAATTACAAACTTTTCACGTTTTTTTTTGGTGACGTAATATGTGAACAAACATGCACTGATTTTTTCTCTTTTTGCTGTTTTTTTCTTTTTCTTTCTTTTTTTGGAGAGAGAGAGAGAGAGAGAGAGAGAAAGAGAGAAGAAAATAGAAAAATTCCTCGACAAAGGTAAAATAATGAAGAATTAGTTACTGGACAGTTTGAGATTTCCTTTGATCCCTGTGTCTGTGTATGATAATATGACACTCATGACAAAAGTGCCATTTCATATCGTTGGTATTAATCTGCATAAGCCATTATCAACTGTTATTAAATGCATGAGTTACACCTTATATAATGATATCTTTTCATATCATTAGGGAGATACACACCACTATTATGCAAATTAGACTGGTCAACATGAATGCTGAAAATTATTTTCGGGGAAGCATGTAATCTAACGTCTAGCATGTGTTATAGTTACGAAGGCAGAAGGGGATAATGCAATAGTTATTCATGAGTTAGTTTTATTCTGCTTATTACCTACAAAGTTACCTGATATTTTTGCTATGTCACAGGTAGAATTTACGCGAGGTTATGTAACATTATTTTTTTTCTATGGTATTACGTACCAATGATATTAATATGTGTAAGATAATTACACTGTCTCTTGGTGATGCTACATGAACGGCGTCGCAGCGTAATATGATGATGAAATCTGAATGTAGGAGAGAGAGAGAAGGAGGGGGGGGTGTTGAGGAGGGAGGGAGGGAGGGATTGAGGGAGGGATTGAGGGAGGGAGGGGGGAGGAGGAGAGGAGAGAGGAGCGAGAGAGAGGGAGGAGAGAGAGAGAGAGTGATTTTATGTTGTGTGTGAAGAGAAAGAAAGAAAGCGATGCGTGTCTGAGAGAGTGAGAGAGTGATGTGTTTGTGAGGAGAGAGAGGAGAGAGAGAGAGAGTGATCTGTTTGGAGAGAGAGAGAGGGAGAGAGCGTGTGCGTTGTGAATGACTTCCTGTGGAGATGAAACCTCATTGCCGAAGAGGAGTTTACCGGAAAATCAATTTAGAAACAGTCAGCTGGCTATCTTAGCCTCATGAATCGATGGTGTTATTAACTATCTGCCAGGCCACTAACATGATGTAACATGCTGTAGTGTTTGAGGTAAATTGGTTTGAGTTTGGATTGTACTCGCGTTTCACTTCTGTTTAAAGCCTTCGTGATCTCAATACGAATTGAGCTTAATAAAAGTTGCTGGGATATTAGTAAAAGATATTGTGATAAAATGATGATACTAATAATAATGAGTGACACTAATTAATGAAATAATAATAACTTAATAGATAATGTCATAAAAATTGGACTATAATTCATAATGTATCATACATTAAAACTATAATGTAAATGATCATAATAACAATTAGATGAAAAACAGATAACACGCATAACAAAAAAACCATAGACACAAAATACACACGAAAGTAAAACAAAAGGATAATCATCATTTATCAACAAAAACACGCAATAAAAAAAGAAACAAAAAAAATACTATTATTGAATACCACAACAGATAATAACTTTTTTCGCCACGTAAAGAAAATTATCTGCGTCATAAAATTACTTTTGCTTTGTTAACCATTCTCGTTTTCTTCCTTTTGCCTTTGTCTCCTTGTTATCATTTTCTATAGATAACTTATCTGTTATCTGTCTCTTTGCGGTGCGTGGTGTGCATACCTGTTCATTCCTTTGTGTATTACCTTAGTAGCTTAATTCTTAATATATTATATATCATATATATATATATATATATATATATTATATATATATACTATAATATATATATATTATATATTTATATATATATGATAATATTATATACATATATATATACTATATAATATGATATATATATATATATATAATTCATATATTTATTTTCTATTTACTTATTTGTCTATTGTCTACTACTAAATATACTTATCTATTCTAAGTATATGCTTCTCTGTTCATCTATCTATAAATCCATGGCATCTATTTATCAATAAGTATATCAGTCTATCTATCTGTATACTCATATATCTACATATATCTATATCTGTATATCTGTCTGTCAGTCTACATAGTTATCTATCTATCTATCTATCTATTCTATTTACTATCTATCTATCTACCTATCTACCTGTCGTCTGTCTGTCTGTCTGTCTCTCTCTCTCTCTCTCTCTCTCTCTCTCTCTCTCTCTCATCTCTCTTCCTCTCTCTCTCTCTATATATACTATATATATATATATACATATATATATTATATAGTATATATATATATATATATATATATATTATATATACTATATATACATATATATATATATATATATATAATATATATATATATATTATATATTATATATATACATATAATATATATATATATATATATATATATACTTATATATATATATATATTACTATATAATATATATAATACGTTTCATAATTATTTCATAAGTACCTTGTTTTCTTTATGGGATTAAGGAAAATAAAGGAATTTTTATTCCTTTGTCCCTTTCGAGTACAAATGCACAAAAAAGTATAAAAAAAAAATAGTATTTATGAAAAGGATTTATTCAGGTTCATTAAATTCATTATCAAAATCTAGAGAATTATTCTACACAAAAAATAATGCGATATTCTATTATGAAATATAAATTCGAGAGCATTATATACATAAGATTTTTTTTTTTTAAGAATTGAGAACTAATTAAAGAAAAAAGCACAATCATACCCATACATATTTTTAATTAATTTCTTATGAAAGTACTAATCAGATCTCACACTCGATGCTATCTATTCTCTATGAAAGTGTGAAATTACTCTAAGAAAATTTAAAACTCAAGATCACTGTGGTTCTGTAGTGACCGCTCGACTAATAGGCACTGCAAGATAATTTTCTTTATTGATTCTTCCAAGATACCCTTAATAATGTGGGTCAGTTACCTCGTTCGTTATTTTTATAGTGGCGAGTGTATCGGCCTTTCATATGTAGGCCTGATGCTTCGTTTCATTTCTTTATGTGTCTATTTATCTTTTGTTTGTTGTTTGTTTGTTTGTTTTTTGTATATTTATATTCATTCGTCTAGTGTTTTTTCTTTTCTTTCTTTCTTTCTTTCTTTCTTTCTTTCTTTCTTTCTTTCTTTCTTTTCTTTCTTTTCTTTCTTTCTTTCTTTCTTTCTTTCTTTTTCTTTCTTTCTTTCTTTCTTTCTTTCTTTCTTTCTTTTTTGTATATTTAGTTATTCTCTGTGGTTTTTCTTTTTTCTTCTTTCTTTCTTTCCTCTCTTTCTTTCTTTTTGGACCTGGATTGGATCATCACCAGCTATCGTTCATATTTAGGCCAACTCCTTTATCAATGATTTTCTTCGGTAAATTGTTGAACAAAACATGACCGATGGACAATGATGATAATAATGATTAATGCATAATATAATAATAATAATTAATAAAATAATAATAATAATAATAATAATAATAATAATAATAATAAATAATAATAATAATAATAATGATAAATAATGATAAATAGCATCAAACATCTTTTTAGAATGCAGTTGTACGGAAATATTAAACATATCATAACACCTTTCCTCCTACAATCAAACATCGACATAAATACACCGTACACAACACACATCTCTCATTATATCTTTCTCTTTCTCTCTTCTCTCTCTTTGTCTTCTGTCTCCCTCTCTCTCTCTTTTTATCTCCCTCTCTTCTCTTTTGTTTAATCTCTCTCTCTCTCTCTTATCTCTTCTCTCTCTTTATCTTCCCTCCTCTCTCTTATTCCCTCTCTCTCTCTCTCTCTCTTCTCTTCTCAATCTGACTTTAGCACCTCCTCGCCCTTACCCTGTATACGTTCCTTACATCAAACACCCTCCTTTACCCCTCACATCGACCCTCTGTAATTACCCGACACTGACCAAGATAATATCATGTTGTTACTCACATCTAAGTCATGTCACGCCATAACCACCAGTACCTACCACCCCAAGAGTCACGCCATACCACAGTACCTACAAGACACCCTCATGTCACGCCATACCACAGTACCTACAAGAGACCCTCATGTCACGCCATACCACAGTACCTACAAGAGACCCTCATGTCACCGCATGTACCTACAAGAGACCCCTCATGTGCCATACTACACAGTACCTACAAGAGACCCTCATGTCACCATGTCACGCCCAGTACCTACAAGACACCCTCATGTCACGCCATACCCACAGTACCTTACAGATACCCTCATGTCACGCCATACCACATACCTACAAGAGACCCTCATGTCACGCCATACCCCACAGGTACCTACAGTCAGAGACAAGACCCTCATGTCACGCCATACCACAGTACCTACAAGACACCCTCATGTCACGCCATACCACAGTACCTACAAGACACCCTCATGTCACGCCATACCACAGTACCTACACAAGACCCCTCATGTCCGCCATACACAGTACTACAAGACACCCTCTCAGGTGTCACGCCCATACCGCAGTACCTACCAAGAGACCCTCATGTCCACGCATACCACCTTTGTAGTCCCTACAAGACACCCTCATGTCAACCGCCTTTACCATGTCAGTACACAGTACTAAGAGGACCCTCATGTCACGCCATTGCCACCAGTACCTACAAGACACCCTCATGTCACGTCCATACCACAGTACCTACAAGCACACCCTCATGTCACGCCACCGACGAGTAAGCCTACCATGGTTCTACCTACAGACACCCTTCATGTCACGCCATTGCCACAGTACCTACAAGCACACCTCATGTTCACGCCATACCCACAGTACCTACAAGACACCCTCATTCGACCGCCACTGACACTAAGTACCTACAAGTACACCCTCATGGTCACGCCATACCGCCGTTACCTACAAGAGACCCTCATGTCACGCCAACCACAGTACCTACAAGACACATGTACCCACAAGACTACATGTCACGCCATACCCACATGTACCATACAAGACCCTCATGTCACGCCATACCACAGTACCTACAAGACGTATGGAAGTACCTGGCGCCTCTGAGCAATTAACCCACCTGTGACTCTCCTGTGACCAATCTGCCAGCCAATCAGACGTCACGCCTGTCCATGGGGCTTGTTGCTTTATTGCCTCGAGACACGACAGGAGGACTTGGTGATTGCTTTTGATCGAGGGAATAAGGATAGAGTGAGAGAGAGAGAGAGAGAGAGGAGAGAGAGAGAGAGAGAGAGAGAGAGAGAGAGAGAGAGAGAGGAGAGGAGGGAGGAGAGAGAGAGAGAGAGAGAGAAGAGAGAGAGAGAGAGAGAGAGAGAGAGAGGAGGGATGAGGAGAGAAGAGAAGGCGAGAGAGAGAGAGAGAGAGGAAGAGAGAGAGAGAGAGAGGGAGGGAGGAGGGGAGGGAGAGGAGAGAGAGAGAGGAGAGAGAGAGAGAGAGAGAGAGAGGAGAGAGAGGAGAGAGAAGAGAGAGAGAGAGAGAGAGAGAGAGAGAGAGAGAGAGAGAGAGAGAGAGAGAGGAGAGAGAGAGAGAGAGAGAGAGGAGAGAGAAGAGAGAGAGAGAGAGAGAGAGAGAGAGAGAGAGAGAGAGAGAGAGAGAGAGAGAGAGAGAGAGAGATGAGAGAGAGAGAGAGAGAGAGAGAGAGAGAGAGAGAGAGAGGAGAGAAAGCGAGGGATTCTTTCGTGTTCCTTCGCTCTGAGTGGGAATAGGAAGTTCTGTGTTTATGTGGTGTTATGTCGTTATGTTGATTGTGTGTGTGTGTGTGTTTGTCATTGTGTGCTTGTGTGCGTGTGTATGTTTATGTATGTATGTGTGTTTGTCATTTTGTGCTTGTGTGCGTGTGTATATGTATGTAAATTTGTGTGTGTGTACGTTTATGTGACAGTGTGTATGTTTATGTGATTGTGTGTGTGTGTATGTTTGTCAGTGTGTGCGTGTCGTATGTGTATGTAAATTTGTGCGTGTGTATGTTTATGTGCTTGTGTGTGTTGTTTGTGCGTGTTGTATGTGTGTATATAGGGAGAGGGGTACATATGTATTTTTGTGTGTGTATGGCCGTGTGTGTGTGTGTATGTGTCCCCTGTACCTGTGTCACTCACTGTGTATCCGTATCTGTAAGTATATGTTTGTGTACACGAAAATATCTCAAAGAAAAGACCTTATGCTGTACAAACAACATTCGCTTAATAACATCAAACACAACTGTAACTAATTCATAGTATATTCATTTGTTGTCATATATAGGCGTCTTGGGTCTAATATAAAAGATGTATGATAATATATTATGATTACTTTATATAACAAGATCGTTGTACAAAGTGCCTCGCAAGAAGTGGGCGTAATCATGTTAATGGTGAAAATGTTGATATCAACATTATTGTCGTTTTTATTGTTGTTGTTTTTATTATCATCATTATTATTGTCATCATTATCATTATCACTGCTTGTATTATTATCATTGATGATATTATCGTTATCATTATTGCTATTATCATCATATTTATCATGCTGATGGCGATGATGGTGATGATAAAGACAGTAATGATGATAAGGATAATCGAGTAATAATAATGATGATAATAACGATGGCGACGAAGACAGTGATGGTAAGAATAAGAAAAAGATTCGTGATGATCAAGATTGTGATACTGTTACAAATAGTAAACAATAATGATTGCAATATTAACAACAACGAAGACAATGGCAGCAGCAGTGATACAAACAATAATGGTCATAATAACAATGAATCATAATAATAGAAGCAGTAAAAGCCTTAAACAACAACAACATTAATCACAGCAATCTAGACCACTTTTTAAAATATTTAACCTAATATCGCCACACCTAAAAACTGAGAGAGAGAGAGAGAGTAGAGAGAGAGAGAGAGAGAGGAGAGAGAGAGAGAGAGAGAGAGGGAGAGAGAGAGAGAGAGAGAGAGAGAGAGAGAGAGAGAGAGAGAGAGAGAGAGAGAGAGAGAGAGAGAGAGAGAGAGAGAGAGAGAGAGAGAGAGAGGGAAGAGAGAGAGAGAGAAGAGAGAAAGCGACAGAGAGAGAGAGAGAAGGAAAGCGACAGAGAGAGAGAGAGAGAGAGAGAAAGAGGGTGTGAGAGAGAGAGAGGGAAAACGACAGAGAAAGAAAGAAAGAGTGCGAGAGAGAGAGGGCGAGAGTGTGACCTTAACCACAGGCTACAAATCTAACGCCACATTTAATACTCTTACCTTCTCTCCCATACTATCAGCTGAGACCCAAGTCGAGACAAATTGCAAATTGCCTTTAACCAGAAACATTTACATTGCGAGGAAAAACGCACCATGAATGCTTAGATTTAATTCGTATTAGATAGAAATGTTGTAGAATCCCGTTTGGATGTGTAAATAAATGTGGAAGTATGAGTACACGGGAGTTTACGAATATGTACAATGTACAGTGTATGTGTGTTATGTACATATACTGGAAGTGTGTGTGCGGACATGTATATTACTATATGTCTTCGCGCTCGTGTGCCTTTTTATAAACTCTTTTTCGTATACATATCCTCTTCGCCTTGCTATGAAACTCGATAATGCAAATAAAACAACAAACCAGCTGTTTGTGTACGAACTGCCTATGCTCCGCTGCCAAGGAGACACACGCCCCAACCACACGCGTTTTGTTCGTGGAACCTTAAAAAAAAAACGGGGAACAATGAGACATCTGAACAAAAGACCCAGTCTCTTAATATCCAGCATGGAACTACGAGATTCAAAGCCCTTTTCACGCGTCTGCACACAGCCTTGTCCGGAAGCAGTGTCTCTTTACGGGATGGCTTTGTCTTGGGCTACATTATTACGTACTGCCGTCTTGTTCCTGTAGCCAAGTGGTGTCTCGTTACGACAGAATAGTGTGTTGAATAACGTACTTTGAGGAGAGGGTAGACATCTTGTCCACGCACACACGTGTACATGGGTACAGCATGTATGTGTGTTTGCGTCGATAGATAGGCAGATAGTTGATAAATAGACAAATGGTTATATGATCATTGATATAGATATAGACAGATATAATCATCAATAAATGGATACATACATACATAAATTGAGAGAGAGACAGACAGAAGATAGATATACAGACAGACAGCCAAACCGACAGACGAAAATATAAAGACACAAAGTAGTATATCCCATTTGGAAATCAATATACTTCCCTGAAAATATTCCTCATACTTGCAGGTACATGCGTGGGTGATATACCATTTCAAAATATACTTTTCCGTATCTAATGTATGCTAGTATACTTTATTCCTCCATCCTACCTCTGTATGGGAGAGAGACCTGACAAGCGCAGGATAAAACGGAAAGAAAGTGTGATTTCTCTTCCCCCATTTTCAATCACAGAGTACTTAAAAAAAAAAAGAAATGCGAAAATGCATATACAGCGAGAGAGGAAAATAAAATGAAGGGAGGGAATGAAGAGAGAGAGATGAGAGAGGATTGATTTGATAAGAGGAAAAGTCTGATTTGATAAGATAAGACCCGAAGTGGAAGGGTGTAGTTGGCTGTAACGTGGGTGTCACCATGATTTAGAAATGGTGAGTCTAATGTTTTTTATGGTGGCGAGAGAAAGCCTGAGTTGTCGGGGGTAAAAAAAAATGTCGCGTTTGTCACAGTGAATAAAGAGACAGTGAATAAAGAGATGGTGAGTCGGCGCGGCCTTTCACATGGGGGCCTGAGAGTGAAATTGTGAGTCTGGATATCTTATGAGGATGCTTTGTCACAGATGAAGAGATTGTGAGTCGAGACATATCATGGTGGTTCGGTAGTGATAAGAGAATGGTTAGAAAGTACTGATTTTTTATGCTGAATGAATGCTGATGATCTGTATTATACGAGAATGCTTATAAAGTACAGATTTTTTGTGATTAAGAGATGCTAAGTGTAGAAACATTAGGATGATCTGGTTGTAGAAAAGGGTTGTAGAGGGAAGAGAATATCTGGACAGTACTGAATACTTTGGAGTTTTTTATAGTGATGATGATGCTCTGGTTGTGAAATAGGGAGCGTTTACACATTGTGATGATATGTTAGTGATAAAAAGCACAGAATATACTATTTTTTCTTCTTTTATGACGGAGATATGTTGAGCATAGACCTTACGATTGAGAAGTAGTGAGTCTTAATACCTTGTGATGTTTTGAAGCTGAATGAGAATATTAACAATTGAATCTTTTTTTTTTTTTGTATTACTAAACTAATATATAGCTAGTTGGTCTAGGTTAGGTTAGCTTAGGTTATAGTGTTAGGAAAGAATTGGAAAATAGTGACACGAGAACTTATTTGCTAAATAAATAGATGAATAGTGAGATGGAGAGTCTAAGCAAATAGAAAAAAAATAGTAAATTTAAATCTAAAGAAATTAACGAACAACGAAATGGTGACTCAAAACAAACATGATAATCCGATAGTGAAAGAGAAAGCGCCTTAAAACTTTAACGTCTCAGAACCGGGCCTTTGACGAGACAACTAAAGGATTTAAAGTCTTGACTGAAAGTTCGTAAGAGTGGTGTCAGGTAAAAGGTTTTCCGCGTAGTGAATCAAGTCATCAGTAAGTGTTCATAAAGTGGTCGAAGGCTGTTAGGATATGGGAGAGGAGTTGTTGGTTAATAAAGTGTGGTGTAATGGCGACAGAGCTGTGAAAAGGGGGTTGAATGGGTTGAAGTAAGGGGTTGGTTCATATTAGTG